AGCGAAAAGCCTTCTTCCGCAGCGCGAAACATTTTCGCTGCGGGAACCTCAGGTCCACCGCTGATCATCAGTGGACCCGAGGTTCCCGCAGCGAAAAATGTTTCGCGCTGCGAAACGCGAAAAATTCGCTTTCTGTCCCAGTGAACCACACGCGTTCATGGTTTACGACTTTAGAGACTAGAATAGTTGGTGGTAGGATATTAGGATAGTAGGATACTTGGTTATGTAGCTGAAAAGATCAAATACGTATTGATTGGGATAGTAAGAGATTAGTAGATTGGGCGTCTTCAGTCGAATCGATCGATACGTATAAATTGTGGACCTTCTCTCCCCTTTTCATACTAAGGGAGGCCACGAATACAGGATCTTTTTTCACACTTTCACTGGAAGGGTGTTTCTGCAGTTACGTAAAAACACGAGTGGTACTTCTGATTTGATCGATTAAAAATACGGTACCTTTTCAGACGCTTATGTGTTGCTCAATAATTGTTAAAATATGGAGATACTCCTCTTCAGCATAACCAGCCAGCTGACCAACAGTCTGCACACAGAACAAGCGATTGTTTGGGGAACAAGGTTCGCACTTTATTCTAAATTTGATCTAACAACTTTGTCTTCGCCAATTTTCAAGATAGCGAAAAATGTGCAACAAAGAAAACATAGGTGAATGAAGTGAAGCAATGCGATCACTGCTATGGAATGGAAGAACAACTGATTCCTACAAGTGTGGAATACGCTTATTCACTTTAACAGGGACGGCTACTCTGGAATACTATACAGTAGGTGAAAAATTATGAATTCTTTCTCTAGCTTTTGGAGTTTCGCAGTTTCGAAGTACATGTGGAAAATGATTCAGGGCCAAATATTGAGCGCTCAAACCCATGATTGCGCTGCGCATTTGGCCTTCATAGAGATCGCACTTGGATGGTTTTACTCTCATCTATTGCTGACAATGAACCAAGTAGCTTCATTTTTCAAAATGAGGAGGGTTTTTCCCATTCTTTCCGGTATCTTGGCCAAGAAGTCCACTGATGTTTCCTGTATCAGCGGGTAAGCAATGCTTGAGTGAATAATTCCATTGACAATAATTCCATGGTACTGATTGACAGAACCTTTCATCCATAGGTATATTGGTTTGAAAAAGTAGCTGCTTTTCCATACAACTAAAAGCAACTCTTGCACCTCTCTTGTAAAACATCAGGCTTTTTTTGCAAGGAATCAAAATGAACAGCCTGGTTGACATTTTCGTTGGTGAATAATCACCTTGGGAACTTTAGGATTTTTTATGAAACGTAGGCATGCAATTTTTGGTTGACCTAAGGGTGCAGTCAACTTTAGGACTATCTTGCACTTCGTTTGCAGTTCGAGTATGGAGTAGAAAACACCGATTATACGCGATCGCACGATGGTACGATCGATGCGTATCTACTCCACACGCGAACTGTAAGCCGAACGCAAAGTATGCCGCACCCCTGAGATTCAGCGCTTCGGACCACTGCAGAGTTCATTTAAAGGGCTGTAATTTCAATTAGTAATTGATATGTACAAGGGAACAAAAGCATAACCTTGTCATTTTGTTTTTTATGAATTAATCGCTGAAATTGTGCGCATTCGCGTGTCCCTACAATTTCGTGTAAAATACAAGTGCATGGCGCATCTGTGTGAGGCTCAAGAATCGTGTATAGCTTTAACAATTTCACCATGTCTTACGATTGTTTCTTCGGGGGTTAGATGTGGTGCACGTTTCACTGTTGTAGATTAATGTCAACTAAACTTTTGGTAGCAAGCCGTGAATCTGGGGATGGCGTCTGAGGCCTGCTTTTTATGAGACGTCAGGATTGTTCTTATCACTGGCACTTTCCGATATCCTTTTTGACAGAGTGTTTAGAGGTTTTTGCTTTTACATCGTTGATTTATCGGATAATTGATTATTTGTAATATTAGCTTCCTTTAGGCATTTTTGTCGTCTCGAAATCGCTGAACTTGTGCTAGTTGGGCGACTCATCTCATCTCCCTACTCAATGGCGTGATACTTCTCATTTATAACTATACTCAAGATCGAGACATGGACAAGTTGCGCACTTCTCTAACAAAAACTTTGAAAACTCTTGGTGACTCGTTTTCGGAAGATGCAACCGTGAGTAGTACTTTATAATATTGCATTAGAAATAGGCTGATGGTTTAGTTATGGCTGTCGGTAGCATTATCGTTCTAATAAACAAAAACCCTTTACTTTAGTAAGATTTTTAGATGGATGATATGTCCGATTACGTGCTGTCACCACATGATGGCTCGCTTACCCAAGATTATGAAGCCAACGTCTCAGGCGTTATGAAGGTCAGCTTATTATATTAGAATTACTAATTCTATTTCCAATAATTCTCTCTCTGAATTAAAAGTAGACATTCCTCACTTTGAATTTTTCGCTTCCATGATACAAACCTCAACGTATTATTAACATTTCAAAATGAACCCAGGAGGGCACAGCTAAGTTCTCAAACCTTTTCCTTGATGCTCTTTTCGGACAAGCTCAGTGTTTTTTGTAATACTTCTTCTGAAGCTTCGTCATTCATTTGAATCAAAGTAAATTCATTGATGGAGAGCTGATTTGAAATGGATAAAAATTCACCCGGTGCTTATGCTTTAGGTTCGACCAAGTGCTGCAGTAGTTTCCGAAAGCGATGACGATATTATCGAAAGTATCGATGCGTCATATTTCATAGAGGACGATTTTAATGCTGTCGATTACGAGATGAAGGTCAGTGGATGTTCTAGAATATTTTCATTTGGCTCATTTCTTTAAGAACTATTTGATCACCAAGTGTTTGCAGAAGCTCCTTGGCATTGAACTGCGTCTTGAGGATGTGGACAGTGAGCGATTGCGTCTGAAATCCCAATTGCAAGTGGTGTCGAAAAAGATTTCTACTCTTATCATGGAGAAGGTTAGCCTCAAAGTCATTGTTGGAAAGCTGTGGCCTTTCAGTCAACAACGTTTCTTACAGTCGCCGTCCCTATAATGGCCAAATAGAGGATATGGATTGCATTAGAGACAGTTTAAAAGAGTTGGTGTGCAAGATCCGTGTGATCAGGAGGTAAGAATGGTGGTTTCTTTACCATGACTTCGCAATAGCATGTCTTGATCATGAATCTCTGATCTTGAAACTCGTGACTTGTGTAGGGCGCTCGCTGGTGCTCAGTCAAAGAGCAGAACAGCATTGTCGATCCTCGCGAATGAGAAGAAGAAGAGAATGTTGAAGACTTTACACTCAACATTGCGAATTATCAAGACTCTCTATGAGACGGAGTTCCATCTCAGAGATTGTATCGAGGTTTGCGAACAGCAATGCATATTCTTTATTTGTTTTCGCGAATTTTCGTTTTTCTTCTAGGACGGCAATTTTCCAGTTGCTATAAGGGTTTGCTTGGAAGCTAAAGAAGCAGCGAATACGTATCGTCACTTCAACTGTGTGAGGTAGGTCCACCACTTCTCCCAACGTTATGGAAAGTCAATCAATTCAAGATTTTGATTCGCTGATTGGTTCACTTGAAGTGTGAGTAGTAAATTATGCTTTCAGCGATCTAATGACGAAACTAGTTGGCTCCACGAACCTTATTGAAAGCGCTCTTGATTCAGCTCTAGCCGGGTTTACCATAGTCTTTGATCATGACCGATACGCCTCAGTCTATTCAGCTTTTACAATGCTCAACAAAGTCGAGGTAAGCTTGGTGACACCAATTAGACTTAATCTTTTGGCTTAGCATGTCGAATTCACTTATTACATCATTGTGAGAACTTGCTTGCGATTTCGTTGGCTCTCAGTAACTATCTTAGCCTGCGTCCAAGAAGCTCATCATTCACTTCGTCTCAACCATAAAGAAATCTTCGCAAAAAGTTATCGAGGAAAGGTGTAAAACTTGTCCGATGCAAATGACATCTCATATGAGGATTTGTGTCAGGTTTGCTTGCTTATATTTTCTGATTCATGTATAATCTATTGCCGATGAATTTGATTTATTCAGCATATAAACTGTGAGGAGATTGTATCGACTGTACGGGAACTTGGTTATGTTATGTGTAAAATTTTATCAATCTTTCACGCAATTCTTCGCTTTCACACTGAAGATGACGAACGAAAGCGAATGAGCAACGCTGATGACCGTGAGTGACATTTATAAATCGCATCTATTTTGCTTCTTTTTTTCTGTTTTATTGGTGAGATTGTATCGATGCATTTATCTCCTCGTTTGGGGCAGAATCAACCCTCCTTTGTTCCAATTTCGAAGATTTGACGACCAGAGTTCCCCTGATACCACTCCCTCTCTCCTCCGCAACCCTTCAACCTCCAAAATACGACTCCCTTTCCAACTTTTTGACCTAAACCAACCCCAATAACGACCCTCTTCCAAAAAATTCAAATATGATCTCCCCTCTCCTCCCTCTCGCTGAGAACTGCACAACGCACTGGTTAACTGTGCCTTGGGTTTTGTTCAAGGACTATTTGGCCTTCATCGGAAGCCATACCATTCAAAACCGCTCATGTATCATTTCGATATAATTTTTGACTGTATATTGTGTGGTAAACCAGTCTTAATTTTTTTTATTGTTTTTAGTTCTTTTCCACTTTTTTACGGGATTAGATATCTGTTGTGTGCCTCACCAGATCTAAACGCCTCTGGTATACCCAATACTTACTAATTTTCAGCTAATCTTGGAGTCATGGTCAACCAACTGACGTCGTCTATGCACGTCGTATTCCGTGTAGCTTTGTCCAGAATGCACTCACTTCTGTGCAGTCAGGAATTCTCAACACTAAAATTCGATCAACTGTTAGATATTGTTGAAATGGCAAACAAGTTAGTGTGAAGCAGCCCAAATTCTAATTCATCGATTTTTTATGCAAAAGTTTAGATTCCGTCATTTCGGTCGTTCATTTTTCGGTTACCCTTCTGATGAGTTGACCGTATCCTTAGAGAAGCAAGCTATCATTTATTTTATACGATACCACTCGGAACGAATGGAGGAATTACGAATGTTCCTGGAGAATGAGTGTTTCACAATATGTCCAGTGCCTCATCAGTTCACTATATTCGACTTGCAGGTTATTACCTTTCCTTTTTTCATTTTATCCCACGTTGAAAGAGTTCGAGTGTGGAAGCACTGGTTAAGGCACGCAGAAATAATTTTCAGGACTTCACCTTCCTGGAGGAATGCCGCAAACGAAAGGATAATGTTGACGTGCCAATCAACACCGCAAATGGAACAGCGGAGCAGCACGTGTTTTCAATAATACCTCATGATTTCGTGAACCCTTTCGGCAGTTCAGAATTTGAGGTTTGTGGTACTTAGCACGTTTGGGTCAGGGTCAGGGTCAAGAGAGGATTGCTTGCGGTGGGTGAGGCGCGGGGGGGGGGGGGGGGGGGGGGGGGGGGGGGGGGGGGTGCGCGTCCTTTTAAGCCAGACGCAGTATCTCACATTTAGTTGAATTACCCCAGGAGCAATAAAATTAGTAGATGCGAAGAACGCGTGGGAGCCACGAGAAGGAAGACATCCTTAAATGGAGACTAGAACTATACGGTGGGCATGTTTGCACCGATATGGGCGGAATAAGGAGTTCCGATTGCCCGTCCGAAATGTCACTGAGCATCTATTGATACCAGTGAAGTTGTTGGTAGGTTAACGCTTGTATGAAAATATGAACAATATGAGGAATGCACAAAGTGCAGTTATCCGAAGTGTTTCAACGTACAAGGATTGGGTCTGTGAGCCTAGTTATGTTTGATTCTATGGTTGTTTAGTCGCAAAAACAATCCGCGCGCACGTCAAGGTCAGTGGAAGAACCTGACGAATCACACGACGATAGGAAGGAATCAGTGGGAAATGATGAGGAGTGAGTTTAGAATCATCATCAGTGAGAGCAGGGCGACTACTAAATATTGGCGCATGGTCTACTGATCATATTTTTTAAAGGAAGTGCATTGGTTCTAAAGCTTGTCCATATGAAAAGCATGACACAGAAGTACAACAGTCTTGGGGTTCTCCAACTTGTTTTCTTGTAACCTCAGCATGTTTGTTGGGAGTTTGACAGTTTCTTGTGCCTCGCGAGGTTGTTAGGCGGAACCGCTAGAGTTGCTGAGGCGCTTGGTGGTTTAGAGCGTAAGTCTAACACTTGAAACGCGTTCAGTTCTCTGATGACGACTATTCAGTAGAAGCGTTAGGGCATTGAATAAATGTTACACTCATAACCTCGCAAAGCACAAGAAAACTCAACTCGCAGCCATGAAGATATTTGAAGTGGCCTTCTCTGGGGGCCGTTCTGGCTTTAGGTCCATTCTTGATCCATATCACCGTGCTGCATGTGGTTGATATGGAGTTCCTTCTCATTCTTACAAATAATCGGGGCAGTTATATGGAGGATTCTTCAAGAGGATCTCTTGCTTCTTGCTGCTACGAAGTTTCAAACTATAGCTCACAACACATTTGCTGTGGACTTTAAAAGTGTGCGCCAATATTTAGTAGCCACCCTGTAGTCACACATTTTGCTTTTCGCTTTCAGTGTTTCATTTCCAGGCTTGATCAAACGCCAAACATTTGCAACACCGCACTCAATTTGCTTCGCTTTTTTGGTATTGAGTTTTCCTTCTTCTGTCTTGTTTTTTTTGGGAGGGGGGGGGGGGGGTTAGTTACAACGCTCAAATAGAACTATTTGGATGGTGTTTTCAGGGCGTTATATCCGTATGACATTCCTCTTGCCATCTATAGCTGAATACTCGGTTCCCGCTCTAACCCAGCAGTTTGAATATTTCTTCTTCTCGGTATGTCAGGCATTCATTGAGATTTCAGCAATATATGTTTCAATTTGATAAAAAATATCACTTAAAGGAATCTTCCACGGACCATGGACCAGTGGGCGGGACCGGAAGTGGTTTTGCGACGAAATGCATGGTAGGTACGGATCCACGTTCATGGGAAGGTTTGAAGTGAATCCTGTTCACGTTCGTGCGTTCGACACGTGGATCCGTACCCTACCATGCATTTCGTCACAAAAACTTCCGGTCCCGCCCACTGGTCCATGGTCCGTGGAAGATTCCTTTAATTTGAAACAATGGATTCAGCAAGTTCAAGAGCCTTCTTATGGAGGGAAAAATGTACGTTTCTCAAATAAAAAGTCATTAATTGAAACATTTCGCAAAATGAGTTTTTTGGTGAGATATTATGATTTATGTCACCTGAAATTCCAGATTTGCTTATTCTTTGGTGCTGATGGATCAGAAACGGTGGAACCTCTTGTTAGAATTGAGGCCGTGCTTTCCGATATCTCAGACCGGCTCATAATAGACGAGTCACAGCTGTTGTCCGGTGAATACGAAAAGGTTTGCGATTTTAATTTGACTCGAGGTAGATTCTTTCTCTTCAAGGAATCGCAGTGCTAATCATCCTCACGTTCTTAGTAACTTCAAGTGTCCAAAACTCGCATTACTATTCATTCATCCAACTGCTGATGAACTGTCTATTTTGTATTTTCCACCTTTACATTTGTCAAAAACTAACTTGTAGGGTCTCCGGTTGATGCGGCCATCACTCTGTTCAGGATTGAATCTTAGCCATGTCGACCGGCTCTACGGGATCGTGGAGAGAATAGTTGCTGTAGAATCTGTGTATGTTTGAGAAATTATCTCCTCAACGGGCTCAAAAAAACATTCGCCGTTTTGCAGAGAGTTTGTTGCTCGACAACTTGATCTTGTACGACCTGTGATGGAGTCGCTTCTCCCACCAGCTAACGAGGAAACACTGTCGAATTTGGATCAGTTCTACAGCAAGGTGGGAATAAAGGAATATGGTGCTGTGGGGATGGCCTTCTTTCTGGCACTACCTAATTTTCTGATTTGGATAAGGCTCTAAGTTGACTCGCGCATTAATGTACGTTTATTTGCCCTATGTACAAATTGTGCTAGAGGTTTCCGACTCGAATAATCTCTTAAAGTGTTCTTTGTAAATTTAGGTGTTATCTGTTGTTCCTGAAACTCGACGCCTAGTCTTACGACAGTGTGGCCAGCCGGGTGCTCAAATATCCTGTTCTCATTGCTGCTGTTTCAAATACAAAATGGGATGTGAATGAATTACAGAGCCGTCATAGCAACTATGTAGACTTTATGGTTAAAGTAAGTTTTCTGCGGTCCTGTTGTGCTTGATGGTCCTTGTATTATTCAATCAATTTTCAGGCCCATGATTTGTTCCAGGACTTTGAAGGGTTCGCATTGCGGCTGGAACGCGCCACTGAAAGCATTCATCTCAGTGAAGCAGGACGTGCACTACTGTGGGATAGGACTATTTATTATGCTTTCAAAGCTTTAGTTCAAGGGTATGTGGAACTCAAAGCCAAAACCTGTAATTCAGATTAATTGGCCTTGTTACAGATATTGTGAAGGCGGCAAGTGCTCAACCGAAGGACGCGCACTGATGCAGTTGGACTTCCAACATTTATTACTAAAGGTTCGTGAAGAAACTTGTTGGTGAAAACGTTATCTTATGTTATCTTACGAGGTAAAATCCGTTTCACACCTGGCCTTTAGGGTACTACATAATGGCTTTAACCTGACGGAAGGCATTAAAGAGTATGGTTTTGAACGCTATATAGGAAAAATAGACTTAAAGCAACAGTTCAGGGAGGGTCCGAAAATTTCAATGCCACTACTACTGAGGGATACACGAGCCCTAGTGAAGAACATATGCAGTGGAAATAATAAACGAACTTACCTCAGAAACTCAAAAACAGGGTGGAAAGTCCCTCAAACATGGGTGTTCTTGGGGATTTCCCCAATCCCGCCCCCTTGCCGGCCGTCATTGGACGCGTCGGCAATCGTGCTCGTTTTGGGACCACAGGGAAAATTGATTGAAAAATGGAGCGCGTTTACAGCGGGCACGTTCAGACAACTCGTCCAACGTGCGTCTTTATCCATTGCTGAGCGGCAGAGGGAGAGTACCTGTCTAAGACCCTCCCCGACGTTTTTTTCCAGTTTTTCATACATTAATCGTCTGGTTTTCATCTACAACTTCATTATTGGTGGTTTTTTCCCGCGAAACCGTTCCTGAACTGTTGCTTTAATTTGATCAGAACTTGTGATTGACCAAGGGTTTTTTGTAATGTTGTGGAGTTGTGAGAAATGCGGGTGCCCGACAAGAAGGCCCGTCGCGCGGCGCGGACGAGTCGCAGCGCGTGCTGTGCGATGTAGGACGTACAATGGTACATTCTATTTAACTTGACGCGAAATCACTACAGTACGCGCTGCGACTCGTCCGCTGACTCCACCTTCTTGCCGCGCGACGGGCCTCCTGTCGGATACCCTGAAGAATGCACACGCAAAGGAGTTAATGTCAACAGGCCTCGGACCACAAAACTCTGCTCTGCCTTTTTTTCTGCATAAATGTGGTAGTAATCTATAGCCGGTTTACGATTTTGAAATATAGCTATTGGAAACAGATGCTGACCCTTCTCCCGATCTGTTACCTAGCCAGTAGGTTGTTGTCGTGTTCCTATATTCAATCGATCAACTTTAGTCTGTTAAAAGTAATGTTTCAAGAAAATCCATTATTATTACAGCTCGAGCCTATCTGTGGTCTTCGTCCCGTTCCGCATACAGCTTTTGTTGAAGGATACATAAAGGCATTCTATCTACCGGAAAACGGGCTTGAGGAATGGATTAGCAAGCATACTGTGGGTCCATCTGTTATTACTCCAATGCCGCATAATTTACTGCGTACATTAATCACTCTAATGGAACAAGCATGAGAAATAAATCTGAGTGATGATCAATGAATCAAATTCCAGGAGTACACCGCCAAACAAATGATCTCACTTCTCAGCGTTGCCACTCATGTGTCGAAGAAGGCCAGAACAAGGATAATAAATGCCCTCAACGACTGAGTACAACAATGACAGTTCGTGGTTGTAAAGGATTCGGTTAAGCTGTCGGGGTGAACTTTCTAAAAAGCAGTGTTGCAATATTTGTACATTTTACATTCCATATTTGTACACAAGGGATATGATAAGTTATTATTTTTGCACAGCATTCTAGTCACAAGGCGTTTAATTATAAGCATAAGAGCATTTTCGACGAAGATCTGTCAACTGCTTGTGTCATTAGATTTTTATAAACATATCAATATTTTCGTGTGTAATTCGGTTAACCTAAGAATACAAAGTCTTCTCATTTTCTGCAAACGCTTGCTATTCTCTAAGAGCGGTACAATGGCTGTAGATGCTGCTTATTGTTAGCACTGGATGGGTCTTAACGGAAGGAGAAAAGGTGTCTTGTAGGTGAAAGTATTTATCCCTGCCGAAACGGTTCGGAATAGACCCCAAGGAGAATGAAGTTGCCTATTTCAGTCGCGGTTTTCAATTTCCAATTAGGCTGGGCTGAGTGTTTCAGAAACCTATATTTATCAATTTTCAACACATAGCACATAAGCTTAAAGAAAGTCAAAAAGAAGCCAAAGAGATCCAACCATTCGTACCAAAAACCATAGAGCTGCTTAATGTACTTATCATACACAATTGAAGTATTTTAAAGCTCCACTGAAGCAATTATTGAAAACTGTCGGTAAATTTTCGTCATCACAGATATGAAGAAATCCGAACCATCGAAAACTCGAAGTCAACAACCATTACAAAAACGGGTAAATTATGAATTAGTAGTGATACATCATCGATAAACACGTCATCTGATACAGTCTCATATTGTATAATATTATATTACTAAATTACTGAGTGGATAGAAGAGAACCTACGATATACTTTATCACAAAAATAAATAAAACGTGTGTAAGCGTAGCCAAATCAAAACGAAACCTCCTCATCTGGAGTTATTTCGCTCACTTTAGCTCAGTTTTTTTTTTCTTTTTTTCACCGGTTAAACCGTCGTAGGAGTTAATCAGCCGGTGTATGGGCATGCATGAAGCTGGTCATCTACAAAGTAGAAGCTGTCTGAGCGGGTTTCGTACGGGCTTTCCACCATTTCCCTCACTGAAATTAAAAATTAAAATAGAAAGCGACTCTGCATTACAAAGCAGAGGTTAGGTTTACAGCGGACATTTTTTGTAATGAACAGAATTTCAAAGAACACAACAAAAAATGCTACAAAATTGATAACAAGGAAATTATTAGGCACATTATCAGGCAGGGCAAGAAGATTACGGTCTCATTGGGTCTTCAATGTGATTTTACTGATTTCAATTCATTCACGCCATCTTGCGATAACTTTCGTATGGCGAAGGGCGTCCAAAGCAATCAACAATCAAAAATTCAATATACGCAATGTACGCGAAGATTCAGCATTAGGGTCGACGTCGATATCGGCTAACCGGTTCCTCAAGTTAGACATGTGCGTGGTGAAATATACATGAAAAGCTGAGTTGAGGTGAAGTGATGTCGCAGTAGTGAACCTGATAGCACATTTACCCGGGAAGTTAGAATTCTGCCTCGAGCGAAGAGTTTTGGCTATATTTCAGCATTCTTCAAGATTTTTGTGATCTTCATTTCACAACATCAGGTTCGCGGCTTGAGCGTCACCATCATAGCCAAGTGAAAGGCCCCATTTCAAAGGTTTTCGTCCATTCCCATTAGTTTCTTCTTCAGTGCCGTACCAGTTTACACTTCCAATTTATTATTCCTCTAGTGTAAGAGTGGTGGCCGCTGCCTTCGAAGACTCTGCCAAAGAGAATTCATAGCTTCTTCATAAGAAGTCCAAGCAATTGCCGGATTGTCTCAATTGAAATGCGCTGCTAAAGCAAAGTAAATCAAAATTGAGTAGGGCTGGTCCTGTCTGTACCAGAACGTTCAATTTTAACCCATTCCGGACAATAGCTTCGTTCCCAGAGAAGTTAAATTTTGAGGTCAATTCCCTTGAGTCGATTATCAGCGTCGGATTTTTCTTTCTTTGCTTGCGCTTTGCTGACTCTTAGAAGAAATTAGGCTAATTAGTTGTACTGGTGAGGCGAAATATGAAGACTGTTATTGACTGCTAGAAGTAATGGTTTAGAAA